TTGCATGAAACTCCTTAACAAAATTCTATTGTAGAAAGAAAACATCAACACATTTTTAATGTGATTAGAAGTTTGTTTTTCCAAAGTAATTTGCCAAATGCTTACTGGTGTTATGCCACTACCCATGCCATTTACTTGATAAATAGACTACCTTCTATTGGAAAATCCCCTTTTGAATTGTTTTACAAAAAACCACCTACATATCTTGATCTAAAAGTGTATGGTTCTCTATGTTTTGCTTTTACTCTTGAAAGTAATAGGACCAAGCTTGAACCTATACCTAGAAAATGTATTTTTATTGGTTACAAATCAAGGATAAAAGGATACGTTCTTTTGATATTAAAACTTGAGAGATTTTCATAAATAGAAATGTTGTCTTTTATGAAAACAAATTTCCTTACAAAATTTACAATGTTGATTATGACTCTAAGAATGTTTTAAATGATTTTGATTTTATTCTTGAGCCTCTTAACTACAATAATGATGTTATTAGAGAACATACAAGAAACAATACTTGCAAAAATTATGCTCATGGAGATGATCATGATGTTAATGACATCACTCATAACAAAGAATATTTTGACACTGAAGAGGATAAACATGATAGAAGAGGAGAAGGAAAAGTAAAGATAAAGAAAATGTAAAGGATATAAGATGATCTAACATAGACAGAAAACCTCTAGAATACTTAAAAGATTATCAAGTTAACCATTCTAGTTCTTTTCTTTTAAAAAAGGATAAAACTATATATGAAACTGCTTATCTTATTACATCTGTTTCATCCTATAATTCATTGTTTAAAAATCACATGAACTACACCCTTTCCATATCTTCTAGTAAAGAACCTCAAACTTATAATGAAGCTAGGATGCAACCTGAATGGATTGATGTTATGAATAAGGTAATAAAAGTTCTTCAAGATAACAAAACTTGGTATTTAACTCATTTTCCTAAAGGAAAAAAAACCCATAAGACGTAAATGGGTATATAAAATCAAACATAAGACTAATAGATCTATTGAAAGATATAAAGTTCGACTAGTTGTTAAAGGGTATACTCAATTAGAGGAAATTGATTTCCTAGATACTTTTTCATCGATTACTAAACTCACCACTGTTAGACTTGTTTTAGCCATTGCAACTATCAAAAATTGGTTTCCTGGACTGAATATTGTCAAAACTAATCAAGTTTGTAAGCTCACTAAGTCCCTGTAGAGTCTTAAGCAAGCCAACAAACAATGGTTTGTCAAATTATCATTATCTTTCACTTCTATTGGTTTTATTCAATCCAAATTTGACTATTTTATTTTTATTAATAAAAATACTAATGATTTTACTATTTTGCTAGTCTATGTTGATGACATCATTTTAGCAGGAGACTCATTAATTGAAATTCAAAGAGTTAAGAATTTTATGCACAATACTTTTAGGATCAAAGATCTTGGAGAAATAAAATATTTCCTTAGGTTTAAAGTTGCTAAATCACAAAAAGGGATTCACTTATGTCAAAGGAAATATACTTTGGACATCTTAAGTGAAACTGAAATGTTGAACAATAAGTCGTGTATGACCCTTATCATGAGTAACACAAACTCTTTTTGAATCAAAGGATCTTCTACAAGATGCAGATTCTTATCGTAGATTGATAGGAAAACTTTTTTGTTTAACTAATACTAGACCTGACATTTGTTTTGTTGTTCACTTAGTCAATTTGTGCATGCACCTATTGTTTATCATCAACATGTTGCTCAACACATCTTAAGATATATCAAAGACAGTCTTGCACAATGTCTATTTTTCAATCCTAAATCAGAAATCCAGTTGAAAGGTTTTAGTGATTCTCATTAGGCAACTTGTCCCAATACAAGATGTTCCACCACAGGTTTTTGCATCTTCCTTGGCTCTTCTTTGATCTCTTGGAAATCAAATAAACAAAGCACGATTTCAAGATCCTCCTCTAAGGCTAAATGCAGTGCCCTTGCAACCACTACATACGAGCTCCAATGGCTTGTCTATATTCTGCAGGATCTTCACATTAGTCCCACCATTCTAGTTGTCCTTTATTGTGACAACCAATCAGCAAGACATATTGCTCATAATCCTATTTTTCATGAGTAGACTAAACACATTGACATTGATTGTCATGTGGTTCGAGAGAAATTACAAGCACATCTCTTTCACTTGCTCCCTATCTGCTCAAACGACCAACTTGCTGGTATTTTCACCAAAGGGCTTCACCCCCTTTAGATTGATCATTTTCAAGCTTGGAGTATTAAATATACATCATCCAACTTGAGGGGAGGATATTGGAATAATTTATTTTCCAATTACTATTTTTATATGTAACCACTGCTTTTGTAGAGTTTTATTTCTTTTCTATTGTATTCTTAAAACCTATTTAAGATAGGTTATTTCTTTGAATTAGTGTATTCAAAAATTAAACGTTTGCTACATAAAAGTTTTACCTTTGATGATATCTTTGTAAATCTGGAGAGACTCAAGTGTTTCCTTTACACTCTTCCCTTTCCTTTTTGTAGCGAGTCATGACACAACCTTCTTAACGTGGACATAAAAGCCCAAGTCCATGAGATGAAATATGAATATCTAATTGAAGACTTAATAGAACCAATGACTAGAGGAAGATAAAAAAAGGTTCAATAAGCTTTACAGCAAAAGGTGGCTCTTTATGGGAGACCCAACAGTCAAAGACCCAAGTCACTCGGGAGGTTAAGTCTGGTTACATGTATAGTAGGCTTGAAGAGTTAAAATAATTTTTTTTGTGGAGCAGTAGATTTGAACCTAAGACCATTAGTTTAATATTTAATTAATTTTAATTCTTTTGGTTTTCTTTTCCTTTTATTATAAACAAACTCAAACTCAATAAAACCTTAAAATTTTGTATTTATGATTGTTGAATTGAGAAAATAGACAATATATGATTTTTGTCAAAGTTATAATATTTATCTGTTATGGTTATTTTTTGCATATTTGATTGTGACATTCATCATTAAGTTTATAAAATTTTGTTTGTGTCACCTTCCTTTATTCAAATTTTCTCTATTTTATTCTTAATTCCTAATTTTTTTCTTAATTAATTTTAAACCTTAAATCTTTATGCGTGAATTCTATTTAGAACCTTATCACTTCTCTTCTAAATAAACTCTATTTCAGCTATGACTAAAAGTGTTATGGATGAAAGGTATCATTTTCTTTAGTGGTGGGGAGATATAGCGATGACAACACAAATGTAGTAAGATGCTTCGCTGTGTGAGAAAACCAATAAAATTGATAACAACAAGAAGATGCATAAGAGAACATGGGAAAAGGATGGGAAAAGAGAAAGAATGGGAAAGTAGATAAATGACTTTTGTGAATAACAAAAAAGAGGTTGGACTTGTAGTTAAAAAAAAATGAGACCATTAGAATAAAATTAAAAAAATAATAAATTTACAGTTGTAGATTTTTATTATTAGACTAAAATTATACTTGGTTTACTTAATAATGACATACATTTGTGGATCTTATTTCACATTTTTTTTAAATCAAAGTAAATTATGTGAGTTCTTTTCGTTAAAGATCTCCTCCTAAAACATTAATTGTTTGAAACAATATTTAGAAAAATATGTTCAAATGAAATTATTAGCAAAGGTTATTTAAAAAATAAAATCTATTTTTTTTATTATGACCACATATATAATTGAAATGGTTTAAAATAAAAAAATTACTTAAAATTTATAAAAAAATTTCTTAAATAAACATTTATTAAAAATAACTTCTGTTTTGCTTTAAAATATTTTTTTTAAAACAACTTATAAAAATGAATAAAACGAAATAAAAAATTTCTTAAATGTTATTTTATGTATTAAATTTATATTTTATATTTTTTCAAGAAACAACTTATTAAATATATTATTAAGATTTTTAGAAAAAAAATTGTTTCAAACAAATAATACTTTATTTAACTCTTTCAATATATTCTAACATATTAAAGTGAATGTAAAAAAAATAATAACTATAAATTTAATTTAGAATTTGTTAAGATTATTTTTGGTTAAAATTTTAGTTGAATGATTACAAAATAATTATATTTAAATTATATTTTTGAAGTATTCAAAAAACAGTTACATAAAATCAAGGAACTAAAGACATATTAAAGTTTTCTTAAAATAATATTATTTTTGATTTATTCATCTGTGTCTCTTTATCTCTTCAATTTTTTTCTACTGTTCTACAGAGATTTTAACTTCAATTTTGTTTAATTTATTTTTAATCATATTTACTTTTCCATTAAAAACAAATCATGTTTGTTTCCATCTGTATTTTTCAAATACACCATAAAAGATAGGTTGACAAAATATAGAAAGATTCTTTTACGAGTTAAACAATATCTAATAGATGTGTCTGAATTTTCGTAGGAAAGTTCGCCCATATGAACAGTTGGCAGCGACTTTTCGACGGTTCCAAACTAACACTAATACAAGTACCACCGTTTTAATTCAAAAGTTGAAAAAGTAAAGAGGAGGGAAAAACCTCTTTCTTTGACAAATAATTAATTACAATTGCACTGCAATTACACAACACATTCGTCCAGAGTAATGAATCTTTCAAAGCCACAGAACTTCCGCGAAATTTCCCACCAATACTATCTTCCATACAATTACACAAAAATCTCAAACACATTAAAAAATAAAGCACAAAATAGTATAGTAGTAACAATACTCAAATTCCCAACTCCAAACACAAAATCAAATCATTCACTGGTCCAATTGAAGCTAACTTACGGATGCAACCTAGGTCCCCAATTATTTCCATAGATCATATCCTGCACGCAAAAGTATAATAATACTCCAATAAATATCATTTTTAGTAAACTATGGTGCATAAAAAAATGTAGAAATTATCTAATTCAACTTTCATGGTTGTTAGTTGTACCAACTTGTTAGTGTAACTATTAATTGATTAATCCTTCACCATAAAGAAAAGGAGGGGGGAATTTTTAATTTACTGTTGGAATTCTATATTAATCATGGAGGCAGATGCGTTGGCTATGGTCCCGAAAGCCTTATCGGAAAGAACCATGGTTGTACCGGCGGTGGAGGGCGGTGACACCGCAGAGGCAGCGTAATCAACAATCTTAATCTGAATACTCTGATCGGGAATGCAAGTCCTAGGTTCCTCTGCGCTTATACATCTCACCCTATACTGCCTCCCACACGCCGCTCCGTTGTCCCATATTCCATCTCCGGCCGCCGCAAAAAGATTGGTCGACGGAAACTGCGACGCTTCGGTGCCGTAACACCCCGATGCTATAAAAAAATGTAATAATTAATCAATTGTTATTTGACATAAACATTGATGTATTATATATAAATATTATACTCACGCAAATATGGAGGGGAGTAACGGGCAGAGGTACCAACGTCAGCGTTGGAGTGGTGCGGGAGAATTACGAAAAGAAAGAAGAAAGAAGAGAAACAGTGAAGTATTGTTGTTGGTGACATGATCTTAGAGATGAATATGATCGCGGATAAGATATAAAGACAAGGAAATTATATAGTTAGTTGTGTGGTGAATACATGGCATTGATTGATTAATAATTAGTTGGAAGATTTTTAATTTTCTTCGTCTCACTTACGGTGGCAGTCAACGTTCGCTTAGCAATTTAATTTGGTGGGACACTCGTGCACGCGGTTGATAAGGACGATGGAATTAAGACTTTCTTTGCTTACACTGGTTTTATTTAATAAAAGCAATATTTTAATACCAAATTTACTAAGATAAATTCTTAAAGATACTATTTTATCATTGAAGAAATTCTATTTTTCTCACTTTAAGATTTGTTTATTTTTTATCAAGAGAAAAAAACACTTAATGAAAATATACCAAATATGCATTATGTATAAAGCGAGTTGGTTGGATATGTTACGTTAGTTAAGGGATTCCACAGGTGCAATTAGAATTAAAAGTTTATCAGTGAATTAATCTCATCACCGTCAAAAGACCCACAAGAACAAAAATTTCTACCTTTCAAGTATTATATTTTTTGGAATAGACATGATAATGGGAGGAGTTAAGTTTTACTTCCTCGATCCTGTTTCTAATTTTTTTAATCTTTTTTTTCTTTTCTTATTTCCATTAAGATTAGAAATTAAATCTTTATTTTCATTAGATTCAGATTTAATGTCTTCCTAATTTACATCATTTCTAAAAAAATAATTATATTTATAATAAATTAGTTTTAATATTTATACACATTTTTATATATAAATAAATATTTATAATTTATAATAATTATTAATTAAAAATATTTTTTAATTTATTATATTATATTAAAATATACATGTAAAAAAATATTTAATTATTTTTTTACCGATATAAACTACTTATTATTATTATTATTCAAATGTTTTATTATATATATATATAAAGTTAATTCTTTTTTAAAAATATGAAATATATAATTTTCAAAAAATATTGAACAAGTTAGTTATTATTTAATTATTTTAAAATAATACAAAATTAAATTATTAATTTGTAATCATTTAAAATATAATTATTTTATTAAGATAATATTTGATATATGACAAATAAAAATAATAAAATTTAAAAAAATATGACATCTAATAAAGACAAATTATAAATAAAATATATGTAGAATATTTAAAAAAATAAAGAAAAACAAAACTTAATATTATGTTCGTCCAATTTGTTGAAAATGTTAGAAAATAATAAATTAATTGAAAAGATTAAGGAAATGTGAATAAGAGAATAATATAATGAACTAATTGATAAAAAATATTAAAAAAGATAAAATAATTAAAAAATGGGTAAAAAAAAGTAAAAATGGTGGAATATAAAAAAATTAACCTTATATATAATAAAAAAATTTATTTTACAAATATTAATAATTAAAATTTTAAATTTAAATATAAAGTCGTTATGAAAATAGGGACGGGTGGGAATTGGAGTATACATCTCTATTCTCGTTCCTGTCCCTAGTCAACTAGATCTTTCTTTCTCAAACCTGGGACGGTAATGGATTAGTCTCCATAAATACAAGTTTATTTGTTATCCCTGTTTTGTAAAACTCGTCCATCATGATTTTGTTTTTAAAAAATATTTCGATAGATTCGAAAGAAAAATATATTTCAATTATCTTTGATCTAGTCTTCTAACCTATATGAAATTCATAATTGTATTCAAACAATTAACATGATGAAATTATTCCTTGAAAATCTTTATCATCCTACTTAAGGTTATAATAATAACTTTTAATAAAAAATTTATTGTGATTACATATTTAATCAACTAATTATATATAAGTTTGTATATTTTTTGTTTTGCCATCTCACAACTTATTTTGACTTGGCATTTAAAAAAATGAAAAAGGAATTTTGGAATGGACATGCGTTGATAGAGGCAGAACACAACTACACAGACATGTGAGCTGTTGGACAGCCCCCACAAATTCATTATTTAGCTAAGAAAGTCAAAATCGTATTCATAACACAAATACGAAATATAACATGAATTGGAACAAAATTTGTATATATGGATAAATTTTTAATTATTTTAGAGATTCACTTTCGTAGTTTAACAAATTTTACACTAACAATTAATTATCAATATTTTTTTTATTTATAGTACAAAAGTTAATAATATTATTTTATTATTAGAGATAAAAAATTAAGATTAGATGACCACATAAAAAAGTTTATATTGTCAAGTGTCAGTATATTAGAGATAAAAATAGCTCGCGCACCAAATTATTTGAATCTGAATTATTTCTTGACTGTCTTTTTTAAATATTTGATTTATTCTATAAACATGTTTAAGACGTATTTATTGAAAATTTAATATCAAGATAAAAGTAAAAAAAAATGTTGAAATTTATAAAAATCAAATAAATTTATGTATACAATGTAACATGTTTTTAAGATCTAGACTAAAAATATTGATAGCTGATTCAAAAACAAGTTTTAAAATAAAAAATCTGAATAGTAGTAAAAATATCTTTAATAGACTTATAAGTTTCAATCTTATATAAGTTAGCGTGTATAACATACAAAAATTAAAATAAACAGACATTTTGGGCTTATAATGCATTTCTAATAAAATTATTTTTCTAATAAATAGACTTCGTCTAATTTATTTATATTTTAAATTAACTTAACATCATTATAGTTCTTTTTAACAAATTTATTCGTTGTGTCTTATAGAAGAAAAACAGAATAAATAAATTATTAAATCTCTTTATAAATTGAAATTAATTTATAAGCTAATGTATAAAAGTTATCTTATATGTCTTATTTAACTTTTCATTTATTAATTACTGTATAAGCTAATTTTAATTTGTGAACACTAAATTATTTTACAAAGAAATTTCTTCAAAGGTATCATTATTTAAGGTAGACTTTGTGGCTGAGATATTTCAAAGTATAACTATAATAAAAAACTATTATTGTATCAACATTTTAATATTTTTTTTCTAAAGTAAACATTTTATACAAATATATATATAAAAATATATTATAACTATTGATAAAAGAGAAATATACTAATCAAATGCAAAATATATATATATATATATATATATATATATATATATAATAAAATAATATTTTAAATGAGTGATAATTTTTATGTTTATTCAAACCTTACGTGGAATCAATATTATTTATTTTTAAAACTAAAAAACACAAAATCTGTTAGAATTTAATTTCAACTCTATATTTTAATTTTCAGTTTGTAACTAGTTTTATAATCCAATAATGTTGTACTCTTCTATATAAGAGTATCTTCTTGGGAGTTGAGGGTGTGCGCTCCGAGTTTTATAACTTCCATGTAATTTATGATTTTGGTCCTCAAACATAATGAATATTTAATATATTTACAATTTTATCCTCTCAACTTCTCGGCTTTGTAACTATCATAATTTATGATTTTGTTCCCTCAAACTTAATGATCATTTAATATATTTTTAAGTATAAATCTAGAATTTTATCTTTTCACTCTTTCATCTTCTTTCTTCCTTTTATATTTATTTATGATTTATTAATAATATATTATTTGGTCCCCCAAGATCAATAGTCATTGAGAGTATCCATAATTAAGAATCAATGATATTACAAATTTTCTAGTTTATTACAAAATACACAAATTAAACCTATCATTGTGCAAATTATTGTGTGATTATACGCGTGTGAGGAATATAGAGAAGAAGAGCGTAAGAAACTTATCTGGTGCCATAACAAGGAATGTTATGACGGTGGAAATTATGGAACCCTAGTAGCGCAGTGAAGCGATGAAAGTTTTTTCGCGTATCAGGTTTGGTGTATATAGGGGGTGTGGTAAACGTTGACAATTTGAGCCTAAGTATTGGTCAGGTTTAACAGTGGTATCAAGAGCAAGGTTACAAACCAAGGACATCTGCAACATGGCTGGAAACGGAAATGGTAATTTCTTTTCAAATTTACCTATTCTTGATGGAAAGAACTATGATCATTGTGTCATAAGAATGGAGGTCATTCTTGACTATTAATAATTATGGGAGGTTGTCACAATAGGTGTTACGGAGAAGGACGAAGTCACAAATAAGAAGAAAGATTGCAAGGCTCGGTGCCTCTTGCACCAATGTGTGGATACAGTGAATTTTGAAAAGATTGCCAAGGCCAAGACAACAAAAGAATGCTAGGAGATTCTGCAGACGGTGGTGGAGAGAAAATCAAGAAAGTGAGGTTGCAATCCTTAAGAAGGCAGTTTAAACTACTTTCAATGGAAGAATCAGAAAAGGTGGCAGAATATTTTAATAGACTGCAGTTGCTGGTAAATCAGATTAAGAGTTGTGGGGAGACAGTGACAGAATTCAATATAGTGGAGAAAGTTTTGATAATGTGGTCGTGGCAATTGAAGAATCCGACAAAGACATGAAAGCTTTGTCAATAGAAGAGTTACAAGTCATGTTAGAGACACATGAATTGAAACGTCTGACACAAAATTCAGACAAAACAAGTGATGAACATACTTTAAAAGCCCAGATAAGCAAGAGAGGAGGACATGCAAGGGAAAAATGGAAGAAGAGTAGAGGAGGCAACAAATTTAACAAAGAAGGACATTCTTTATCCCAAGATTCAAACTCTAGTGAGCAGAAAAGGCAGGGTGGCCGTGAACTTTGGACTAGCAGAGGTAGAGGAAGAAGAAAGAATATTTATATGAGAAAAATACAGTGTTATAACTGTGAGAAAGGGGGCCATTATGCAGCTGATTGTTGGCATGGAAAAGGAAAACAAAAGAATTTTGGAATTTTATTTCCAAAACCCAATCAAGTACAAAACATATTAATATGTTACTCTGATGCAGACTGGTGTGGAGATAGTGTAGATAGAAGGAGTATTACAAGGTGCATATTTTTGTTCATGGGAGCACCAATTTCTTGGTGGAGTAAGAAGTAGTCTGTGGTGGCCTTATTAACTTGTGAGGCTGAGTACATTGCAGGGGCAAGTGCAACTTGTCAAGCTGTCTAGCTAGACTCAGTTATGGAGGAACTAGGAATCATCTTAGAGAAACTTATTGAGCTACTAGTGGACAACAAATCAGCTATTGATTTGGCCAACAACCCAGTTTCACACGAAAGAAGTAAACACACTGAAACTAGATTTCATTTCATTCGGGACCAAGGGAAGATAAAACTAGTGCATTGTTCTACTCAACTACAGTTAGCTGATATCTTGACTAAACCTTTGAAGAAGGAGATGTTCAAGATACTCAGAGAAAAACTAGGAAATTAAGCTTTCAGTCCTAGATTTTAACTTTCAGTTTGTAACTAATTTTGTAACCCAATAACGGTATACTCTTTTATATAAGAGTACCCATAATTCAGAATTAATGGTATTACAATTTTTTCAGTTTATCACAAAATATACAAATCAAACCTATTATTGTGCAAATTATTGTGTGATTGTACGCGTGTGAGGAATATAAAGAAGAGTATAAGAAACTTATCTGGTACCATAACAAAGGATGGTGGAAATTTTGGAACCCTAATAGTGCAGTGAAGCGGTAAGAGTTTTTTCACGTATCGAATTTGGTGTATATAGAAAATGGGGTGTAGTAAACGTTGACAATTTGGACCTAAATATTGGTCGGGTTTAACAGAAATAAAATAAAATAAATATTTTTAAAATTTAAGTCATATTCAAATAAACTTTAATTTAAAATCTAATAAAATTTAATTATAAATTATAATATGCGTCTATATCTATCTCTATATTTAATGATATAATAATATTTTTTTAAATATAGATATTATTTTATAAGAAAATCATTCCGACCTAAATTTACCTTGTATACTAAATGGTTAAGAAAAAGAAAAGAAAAGAAAAAAAAATATGATGCTACTGTTTAGTTTAACCTAATATGTATTATTAAATTGTAGACACTTCATAAACGCTGGATAGCAATGCCAAATCATGCCCGCAATCCTTGCTGTGGTGAAGTAACAATCATCAATAAGCGCCACGCAACTAGCTGACTCAAAGTAATAATTCTCATCAACAAAATCTACCGTTAACTTACTATTCATAATTTTACCACCTTCTAAATTTATTGTTATTTTAACATGCAAGGTAAAGTTGAATATTTTTCTTAAATCACTTTTATTAAATTATTAATTTAATTATATTTTAAAGAAATATTATTTTATATTAAATCTTAATAATAATAATAATAAAATATGAGATCAATATTTACATATTTATATTATAAATATATGAATTATGTAAATTTATATTTTTTACGTATAAAAAATAATTATTAAAATTAATATGTATTATTTAAAAAATTTATTAATTTATTAATAATATTTTTTTATAGATTTGAGATCTCTATTTAAGTTTAGATTTTTACTTGTATTATTCACAAAAAAAACATAAAATACGAAAAATGAGAATAAATATTATATAAAATAATATTATTTTAAAATAATGTAAAAATAATTTATTAATTTCATGTTCTATTTATTTTATATTATAAATATTTGAATTAAAGTTATAATGATTAGTTAAGAAAAATAAATCAAAATTTAATCACTCTTTAAATAAAATTTAATTAGTTTAATCTTAAATTCTAATCTTTATCTAAGTTATCATCAAAATTTGATAAATAAATATTATTTTTAAGAAAATCTAATAACAATTAAATAATATATATTAATAAGCAAAGATAACTAAAAATAAATAAATATATAACTAAAAATAAAAAAATAAATATAAATATCATTTGTGTATATCTAAAAATAAATATATAATATAATTATAAATAAATAAATAATATAATATAATCAATACATAATTAATAAATAAATATAAAATAAAATTAACATATAATTAAAAACAAATAAATAAATATAAAAAACTAATATATAAAAATAAAATACAATTATAAATATATCTCGTATTATATTTATAATTATAAATAAAATAATACATAATTTTTCTCTTCCATGATTCCCCAAAATATATATATATATATATATATATATATATATATATATATTTATTTATTTATTTATATTTTTCTCTCTTTTATTCTTTCTCTCTCCCTCTCATGCTCTCACTCTATTTATTACCTCGCATTTTCATGGTAACTTCCAAGGTATATATAGCCATTAAATTTGTATGGTTTTAATTTTACGTACAATTAATGTAAGTAATGATTACAAATTTAAATTTTTAATGATTATCTCTTCAAAATATAAGAAATCTTATCTCTTTTTTTAATTATTTTATTTTATAATAATTAAAATTTATATTATTATTTAAATATTTACTTATATTTTTAATAATAATATTTTTTATATAAATTAATCTTTCATTATAAATTTATTTAAAATATTATAATTTAATATATTATATTGAAAAGGAAAATCATTGAAGTATTACATAAGAAAAATAACTTAATTAATTCATGGCGTATTTAGTAATTTTTCTTACGTTTTTGGGTTTCAGTCTCCTGTTTTTACTTACCACTGTTTACTATTTATGAGGCTTTCTATATAATATTATTTGTTTTAATAACTACATTAGAAACAACTTGTATTAATTTAAAAAATTGGAATTAATAAAATTAAACTATAATTATTTTTTTTATAAATATAAATAAGCTAATTTTTATTTTTAATATATATGTAAATGTTTTGTTATCGTTTTACATTTATCTTTCTTTTAATATATAAATTTATCGAACCTTTTAAATTCACAAACTAACTTACAAGTTTTAAACTCTATATTAAAATATGGTTACAAAAAAATAAAATCATTAAACACTAAAACTATAATAATTTTACAAGTAATTTATCAACAAAAATAAAATATTATTATGAAATATATGTAAATGATCTTTTATTATTTTACATTTATTTTATGTTTTATTGTCTAATTTTCTTAAACCTTCTAAATTCACAAAGTAATAACTTATATATATATATATATATATATATATATATATATATATATATATATATATATTTCTATACGGCGAACTTATATAACGTAAAAGAAAAAAACACTAATAAGTTTTAAGCTCAACAAACTAATTATCACTTTAGTTTTGTCAAACCTTGAATGGAGGTGTCTACCACTAGAAGAAAAATGTTAGTTTTGTAAAACAACAAAAATCAAATTCACACATGTAAATTTTAAGAATGTGACTAATTAATTATCATTAAATATGCAAAAGGTTTTCAAATAATAATTAAAGTAAATGAAAATGACCCAACAAAGTTTAAATATGTTGTTTTGGATTACATATTGTGTTAATAATACTATTAAAGTGAAGAATTTAACATTCTAAGAACCTGATTCTCCCATTCTCCTCCATAGTGGCTATTCCTTGAACCAATCAAGAATTTAATAATAATATTAATAATTAGAACGTCAGTTTATATAACCTGATATGTTAAAAGTATCAATTACTTTTTTTTCCTCCTCAAACATAAAGAAATATAAAGTAACAAATGATTAAAAAAACTAAAAAAATATATAAATAAAAATAAACATATTAATTATTTTATTTTCACTTGTACATAAAAATATGAAATAAGAAATATAATTATTTATCTTTTTTATAATTTTTTATTTTCTTTCTAACAGTTTTTTTAATTTGTATTTATTAATTTTATTTTTCACTATTTCCTGCTCCATACATTTGTAAGAAAAAAATAATAATAATCATTTTTTATTTTTAATTCTTTTATCCATAATTATTATTAATATGATTTTGACATGTTTTAATCAGATAACGTGGTCTATTTCAAGATAATCTTCAATTTTTTTTATCCATTACAAAGTTTTTATGTTTTTTTAGTTATAATGATACCAACGAATAAAATTCTTACATATATATTGTTATTATGATATTTCATTTTATTTTTTTGTTATTATTTTATTATTTTGTTTAAACTCTCTTAATTGCTATTTTTAAATATATATAATTATGACTAAGTGAAAATTATAAAAAAAATGAGTAAGGAAATTAATTAAATAATAAATTAAGGGAGATAAATTAAATAAATAAACTAATAAATAAAAAAGTAATTAATTCTCTTATCCTATTTCTAAGATCACTACGAAATAGACGATGATCAGAATAATAACACAGCATTTATACTAAATAATTTATTATAATATAATTAATTACAATAAAATAAGATGGGATAATTATATTATTTGATTGTATTATATCACCGGACAAGTTATAAAACAATACAATTTTCAATATCTCTAAGAATATATAATATTTATACGTAAAGTTTCTGACAAAATAAAATCATTCCATTCTTATACATTGATTTAGTTTATAAACAAATGCAAATTCTATTTTATGTTCATACATTTTTGAACAAGACAAAGCATGGCATGAAATCATAATACAATGCATTTGAGCCCGTTCTAAAAGAACAGTGACGATGATTGGGCCTAGGCCCATGATGATCCATATGGTGCGAAAGAAGAAAGGGGAAAAGGGAAAGGAGATTGGCGTTGCATTGGGGGTGCGTACGTGTAAGTGTTTGGAGTGGGGTCCAGAATCCACCATCTCCGTCGGAGAGAGAAACCAGAGACACAGTACAAAAGGGTTGATCCAGAGGCAGCGAAACCTCGCTTCGTGCCTATCCTCCACCCTCGTACTCATACAATACATACCCACCCTTGCTTCCTCTCCTTCTTTACCATTTTCATATAATATTACTATTATAACATTACTATCCATCCCCATCCCTGTCCCCTTCTTTCCTTTTATCATTTCTTCCTTTCGATCCCATTTCCTCACACCATTTTCAGTTCCCAGGGTTAGGTTTAGGACCCTTCTCTGTCTGCTGTGCAATTATCTACTCACTATTATTAGGCCCATAATACACCCATTTTCATCAATCAATACACCTATAGTCATTACTGATCCTTTTCTTTGCTTCCCGAACCGTAGATTTAGGGTTTCTCTATAATAATAGTATTTTCAATCTTTTCATACTTCCGTAAACAAATTCACATAAATTTCCCTTATTATTATATTACTATTCTTTGGCTTTATCTTTCAATTAACTAGGCTTGAGCTATTACGGTAATAGTTTTGGAGAATGGACAAGAAAAAGGTAGCAGTTCCCCTTGTGTGCCACGGCCACTCGCGCCCCGTGGTCGATCTCTTCTACAGTCCTGTTACGCCTGATGGGTTTTTCCTCATCAGTGCAAGCAAGGGTACGCTCTTTCTCTCTATTTCCACAATCTTTGCCTTTTCAGCTTTAAATTCGGGGTGGCCAATGTTTTCGTCTCTCAATTTGGAACAATCATAGTCTTTTTTTGTCTTTTTCTGGATCTGAAATTATGTTCGTGCCTAGTCCTCAGATTTGGTTTCTTAAATGCGTATCGATGTGGCAGTGGATAATAACATAAGGATGCTTGATATTATTTCTAGCGCTCAAAGAAAAGAAAAGAAAAGAAAAGAAAAGAAAAGAAGCATTTTAGGGTATTATTGCTACATGAGACGTACTTAAATTATGTATTTCTGCACTGAGTGTCCGAGCTTGTTGCATTGGTTTTTTGTGTATGCGTACGCGGAATGGATGATTTTATGTATGGGTTTTTGCTTGGTGTTCAGATTCTAGTCCTATGCTAAGAAATGGAGAGACTGGAGACTGGATTGGAACATTTGAAGGGCACAAAGGTGCTGTGTGGAGTTGCTGCTTGGATACTAATGCCTTACGTGCTGCAACTGCTTCTGCTGATTTCTCAACGTATGTGATTTTTATTTTCTTTTTAAGCTTTTACACATTGGCCATGCATTTGATGGTGCTGCTCCTTGGCCTTTAGCTCACACTGACCTATCACCTGCATTTGATGGAAGAGTCTGTAACGCTGATTCAGGGAAATGGGATTTATCTCATTTATTCTGTTATTAGTACTTCGTTTCCTTGTAAACTTGTTTTCCTGCTTGTCTGTGCTCTCTTGTTGGCCCCGTTCATATTCTTAGTTTATTATTCCGTTAGGAACACGATCATGTGTTATGGCAGTTGTTGATGTATTTTGTGTTGATAAGTATTCTGTATTGTTGACAGCTAGATCATCCTGGTAATGTATCTGACGCATGTATTAGCCTTTTGCCTCTCGCTACATCATACTCTCTTATCTGCCTTTCTTACAACTTACAAGTAGTGTGATGTGATCAAGTTAGCCCCAACAATTGATGTACTGGATATATTATCAAGGTTTTAATTCATTGATTAGAAGTTTACATTTGGTTTAATGTGCAGGAAAGTTTGGGATGCTTTAACAGGGGATGAATTGCACTCATTTGAGCATAAGCATATTGTTCGAGCATGTGCCTTTTCAGAGGTAGATTTTGGATGTGTTAATTTATTATTAGTTGATTACTATGATTTTTGCTGATATCCATTTCTAGAGAAGGAAAAATCAAAATATCAATATATGAGTTATAAAAGCATAAAAAATAAATTGGACCATGGTGTTGACATGAATTGTGATTCAATTCATTTGATTTGGTACGAGTAGTCACTCCATTGATACAAAATAGAGGAAGTAGCATGTATCAATTATATTTGTATTAAAAAAATAAGTATTATGATAATATGAATGAAATGCATAAAAATTAGCATAATATTTACTCAAAATTTCTATTCACTGGAGACTGGCTGGGGATGACAAGAAAATGTAGGAAAAGGTAAACAAATGCTGTAGTTGAGGAGTCCTTCCTTGATCTGTAGGTGAAGCTATGGTTTAGGCATGTGAGAAGTTTGATAGATTTACTTGACTGTGTGGAGTGGGGCAATAGAACCAGTGGAAAAGAAGTCATGTGCAATCCCACACCCATCTTTCAAAAAGCATGATGGTGCCACACAAGCCACAACCACTACACCAATAGCGTCTGCAACAGCTATTAGTGTGGAAGGCACATCATGAGAGAGTTGCAATTGCATATTTGAGGAATTCTGCAACACAACACAATAGCTCTATTGCGCTTCTATAGCAGCTTTTTAACAACAATGGCTGAGATGTGTTTTATGTGCTGCCCAGAATGATAGATTCTGTGGATTGGGGTGTGTGTGGGCATGTTGGTGCACCATTGACAACTAGCCCCTGATATTGTAGCGCAGGATATGAAGAACAGTATATGAATTGAGTTGGACAGCTGTGAAGGACAGGATATGAAGAAGTTGCTAAAAAAATAGTGTTTCTGCTTAAAAGTTATATTAACGATTGATGATGAGAGGGTGAAAATTATCAAACCCCAAACTGATGCGCATAAAAGAGGAAATGAAAAAATTATTGTATTTCTATCCAAAGTCTTGCTTACATTATGTTAATAATTAATCATGATTCTTATAATTCAAGAATCGGATAGTGGATCTTTTCAATTCAATTCAATTCCCAATTTGATAGCATGGAGTGGGTGGGTGCATGCAAATGAAGGGGGTAGGGGAATAAGTATTTTAGATACGACGCTAGCATGTGCCTAGAATATTTATTCCCAACCTTAATACTACGTATAGCTGGCTTGGTTTCACGACTTTGATATTAGCTGTATGGATCTATTTGTTTTGTTTTTAGATTTTAGGTAGATATAGTAAGGTTTTTTTAGTTTGAAAATTTTATCTAATTCTGAGCAAATTTTTTAATATCTATTTATTCGAGAATTATCACATGTACTTAATCCAAATTTCCTCTTCCACTCACTTTATGATGTGCTTGGATGGGGAATTTTGGGAAAAGAGTTCAATTTTTAAGTGTGTTTTAAATATCATTCATCAAAATGACTTGTTTGGATATTAGATAAAAAAATTTATATAATGATGAGAATTTTATAGCTTTTTTAGAAGCAAAATGTTTGAATTTTAAAAACACATAAAAAACAAGGAATTTCGAATAACTCAAAATGAATTTTTCACAACTACTTGTGCAAACGATAAATTTGAAAAATGCAAGAAATTTAAATTGCTTTTTTCTAAAGTATTGTAAAAAATAAAGAATTTTAATTAAAGTAATAAAATTCCCATGTATTTTAAATTCCTTGGAATTTTAAAATCCATTATCCAAACACTATTCCGTATATCATTTCTGTGTTTAAATGTTACTCTTACATTGCATACAAAATTTTGCTATGGATATTGTTTGGACATGTCTCCCAAATATTGTGTTTTGATCGCATTCGTTGCCTACAAATGCGTACATTTTCACATTCATTGATATTTTATACCTTGGAGCAGGATACTCACCTTTTGCTCACTGGGGGAGTCGAGAAAATTCTCCGCATCTATGATATGAATCGGCCTGATGCACCACCCAGAGAAGTGGATAAATCCCCTGGTTCTGTCAGAACTGTTGCCTGGCTTCATAGTGACCAGACAATATTGAGTTCTTGTACTGATATGGGGGGAGTCAGGTTTGTTTTCCATTAAGCTGTTTGATGCTGAAAGCTTGCCTCTGTTGTAAATTGTGTGCTCGCTTTCTAGTTTTTATTTTATTAATGTACACATCAGCATTGGTGCTATATATTATATTGCACTGAATGTAGTTGGTGTTTCACAGGTTATGGGATGTAAGAAGTGGTAAAATAGTCCAGACACTTGAAACTAAGTCATCTGTGACTAGTGCTGAAGTGAGTCAAGATGGCCGTTATATTACAACTGCTGATGGTTCCACTGTAAAGTTTTGGGATGCTAATTAGTAAGTACAAGCCACGATGGTCTATGTTTTCTTTCCCAAATCTGCTTATGTGGTATACTTAGTTACCTTTGTTTTCAGCTATGGATTGGTGAAGAGCTATGATATGCCCTGCACTGTGGAATCGGTTTCACTGGAGCCTAAGTATGGGAACAAGTTCGTTGCGGGAGGAGAAGATATGTGGGTTCATGTTTTTGATTTTCATACAGGCAATGAGATTGGTGAGCTACCGATCATTTTTTATTTTTATTTTTTGATATTGTATCCTCTGTGGGTTGTTTTCATGATCAATCTATGTGGCAGCATGCAACAAGGGGCACCATGGTCCTGTCCACTGTGTTCGTTTTTCTCCGGGTGGAGAATCCTATGCCTCAGGATCTGAGGATGGAACCATCAGAATATGGCAAACTGGCCCATTGACTCTCGATGACTCGGAGACTTTGTCTGCAAATGGATCAATTGATAAGGTGAAGGTAACTGCAGATGAGGTTTCACGCAAGATTGAGGGTTTTCATGTTGCTGATGAGGGAAAATCTAAAGAAAAGGATGAGGCTGTGGAGGAATCAAACTAATAGTCGTGCATTTTGTCTGGCAGAGTGTTAGAATTAACTAGATCAAGTGCCTACTTATGTACGTGATTAGTAAACTAAATTTTGTAAATTTTAGTTTGTTTGAGATTTTACTGAATTGAACGAGCTTGTTGCAGCTGGCTGAAATAAGTTCTATGTTTGCTTTCATTTCAATTCTGACATGGAAGTTTATGAAATATAGGAAATGAGTTGGGATACTTTTCAAGAATCACGGGCATTCAAGCGGCTTTTATCTATAGATTCTGGCCAGTCCAATTTTGGCCGGGACTTGTGATCTGGTATATTTTTTCTTAGTGAGAAATATGTTCGATTTCGCATTAGAAGCTTGCATAATTGTGTGGAAGTCTGAAATATTTTTCTCAGCTCAACAAACTCGAAAACAAGTGCCCCTAGTCTTAAGCCATCTTCTAAATAGGTCCAAAACAGAGTAGATAGATTGTCGTCATTATGTGGACGTGAGATTGGGCGTATGAGTTACAGCACAACATATATTAAGCAGACAAGAAAAAGAGGAGCGGTGAAATCGCCGTAGTAGCTGTCATTTCTAATTTTGGATAACATAGAAGCATTCTATAATTTTGTTAAAAATGCTTATAGAGCATAAAATACATCAGTTACATTCCTTATTTTATGCATAGTAAATTCTAAGATCTAAACCCTATAATTTAAGAAAGGTTGCAGTTGTGATCGGGAACGGAAGCGTTAAATAAGAATAACTAATGTGAGGGTTTAGGCATTGAGTTGTAGACGCGATAGCGCAGTGTATTGGTGGGTGTGTTGATTAGCTTTAGGTAAGTCAGATCTGTCTCTTTCATACTATGCATTAATCGTATCACCATTGATAATATTAGTCTCTATGCTTTTTTCGTTTGATAATATTAGTTAACACATCAGTGATGACACCAATTATAGCAATGTTTATTTCCCCCTTGTGTACTCAATTTTGTTAAACAAAACAACTAGCTCGTGGAATAAATACTCAATTTGCATTGCAAAATAATAGTAGATAGCTCATGTGAGTGCAGCATTTATTAATTTATTTATATTTTAAATATATATATATATATATATATATATATATATATTTTTTTTTTTCGACCTATTATTTATGAAGATCCATCTTGAGAACTTGTAATATAAAGTTGTTTCGTGATGTTCAATTCTAAATTAGGAGGATCCAACGAATTTTGAAGTTAAAGACGATATCTGGGGGTGACGAATAACTTGATACACTCATCAAAGAAACGGTTGATGCAGGAGGAGGTTCCATTCCTCATTTTCACAAATCTCTCGTCAACAAATCTTTCAAAGAGTAGCATTCTGTCTCAACTAATTATTGTTGGATTTCTTAGACTAAAATACTAGGACTAGGATTTTTTATTCCTGGTCAAGTTGTTCACTGTTAAGCCCCCATGTAAAGAGAATAAAGATGGAAGAAAATTAAGAAAGGATTTCGTTTATATTTCTGTGTATATCACCACAACAACCACAATGAGCATACAACTTACAGGGGTAGAAATATTTTACAGAAGAAAGTCTAAATATACATGAGTAACTAACTAACTTATTTATTAACATGTTTTCTCAAATTCAAGGTCTTGATGTTGATAATTTTGAGTTTTTTGTTTCAATTTCAAAGCTTGAAATTGAAAACCTCTTACTGGTTTAATTACATAAAATATAAATCCAATTAAAAATGTGTTATTCTTAATTGAATTATAGGTTAAAAATTAGAAGAATAACACCTAAGTTATCTCATTAAATCAAACATGGATGAATCTATTATCAATTCGCTTACTATAGACTGAGATAAGTTATTTGAGTTGTGACAGTTGCAATGGATCAATACTCAGCTTCTGAGACTTCTTTTATTTTCCTGAACACCAAGAAATAATGTCAAATCTAAGATAAACACAATAGTTGGAAGTGGAATCCCAATTAGAGTTGCAAAAGTCAATATTATTATAGTTATTGCATCTATTGATGGTCAAGCCAAGATGAAAAGTACCTTACCAGGATCTGAGGAGTCATTTACTGCTTTCCAGTGATGTTCTTGTGATTTGTACATATATTAACAGACCTTATTTACTATAAATGACAAGTTGGGGTAGGTGATAGTAATATATTGTTATGTTCTACAATAGACCTATAATGAGATGGATCAACAACAAAGTAGGAACCATCTTTTTCAGTTTTAAAGTTGTGGCCATAAGTATTGGTTCGGGTGTGGATTCAATTATGTTGGCTTTATGGAGAGACTTTGTAATGAATTTGGAGTGAGATAGGAACAAGTTACCCCTTTAGTATAAAAAACCTCAATGTTTAAGAAGTAATGTAAAGGATCCAAGTCTTTGAGGATGAATAGTTTGTTGAGTTGTGAAATGATGAAGTTGATGTTCGATTGAGAGCTTTCGTAATAATTATATCATCTACATGTATACAAATCAAAACTGTTGTTTATGAAGCTGAGGGTGTCACTTAATTTCTGAAACCAGGACTGAGATGCTTATTTAAGACCATATATAGTATTATTTAATTTGTAAACCTTGTTTTCATTATAACCTTTGTGACATAACCTCATGTAAACTTTTTTTGCTGAAAATTCACCCTCGCTTATGTTTGTGTACTTAACATGATACTAATCTTAATTGTGGATAATTTCGTTTTCCTTGAATATTGGATTGCTATTTCATGTTTTGAAAAATTGCACAGAAAGACAAGAATGGGGGGCATATCTCGTCTTGTTTGGTACTTCTCAGAGGTTGAGACTGTTTACTGCTATTTAAAGCTTTTTTCTTGGTACAGATGCATCTTTGAATTTGGTGGGATCCACTTTGTCTCATTCATCACAGATGTTTGCGGATGAAAGAAAAATCATACGTCCAATCTTATTCACTGTCGCCATTTTTATGGGTTCCATTTAAGAAGACAATAACAACTGTAAATAAAATGTTCATTGTTTTCAACTCTTATGCTATTTATGGGAATGATAGAAAATTAGAAAAATATAGAATGGAATACATACCACGTTTGCATGGATAAAAATATGAAAGAATAAATAAACTGGAATAACTTTTCTTCACTTATTTGGATAAATGAGAAAGAGGGTAAAAAGTTATTATGAATGGAATATTTTTAATAATAATAAAAATATTCAAATATATTATGAACAAAATATTTGTTTTTTTTTTTGTTATAGCTTTTCATTATTAAACAAAAAATGAGAAAGGAGGATGATAATTTTCCTCAATCAAACCCAAAATATTTTTCAAATTTTCCTCCCAATATTGTTTAGTTCATATATCAAATGACACTATCTAACCCAATGTTATTAGACTTTTGTTAACCAATCCATATTTTATGATATATCAATGTTCTTGTTATGAAAATAGAGAAGGAACATAAAAAATGAAGAATTGAAATGATAAAAAAAGTATAAAATTTAATAGTAAAAAGATGTGAGACTTAACTTTTTCATCTTTCTAAAAAAGTGATAGAAAAATTAAACATAGAATGGTTGAATTGGGTCTTGAAATATGTATGGATGTTTCAGTTTGTATCAGAATTTAAATAAGTTTTTAAAAAGTAAATTTTATTGTTTATAATTATCTCATATTTTAATAATAATAATAATAATAATAATAATAATAATAATATGCAGGGATAGAAAGGATGAAAGATTGGTTAAAAAAATAAAAAATTAACATTTTCTATTTATTTAAAAATTTACTTTAATTACCATGACTAAAACGTGTTTTAATTAATAAGGCGGAATACATTTAAATCATATTTTATTTAATTTTTTAAAATAAAATAAAATTTCCTTTTTTCTTATCTTAAATTCCTCCTTTCTATATACATTTATCTGATTTCTTATACTTCTTTTACAACATTTATACTTTAATCCATTGTTTGTTTAAAGTATTTTGAAGAGGAAAAAAATAATAGGTGAGAAAGAAATGGAATGTAAGAGAGAGATCTTCCACAACAGCTAAAAAAATTCCATCAAAACATTAATTAAATGTGAAATGACATACTGATATTTATATTCTAATTCAGACTACATAAATATATTATTAACCTTAAATTTGTAATTGCAAAAATAAATTAAATCTTAATTATTTGTAAAAAAATTAAATTTTTAGGTGAAACCTTAACATCCAAACGCACATTGAAAAATAAGTATTAAGATGAGTTTGTTTGAACACCTAAAAAAACAATCACAGGATGAACAAAAACAATTGACGTGTCATTTTCTTATTAATGATACGGATTTGAAATTTACCTTGTATCAGAAACTCTGACGCAAACATGCTCTACAAATTTCAAATTGCTAAAGTTAACGGTTACCTAACTTTTTGCATGACTACATAACATAATCAAAATGAAAATCATACTCATCATTCTATTTCTCAAACATCCATTCGCATGTTGTCTTATGATAATGCAATATATATATATATATATATATATATATATATATATATATATATATATATATAAGATCCATTTAAACATCCAAAAGAATCTTCTCTACTGGAGATGTTAGTAAGATATCAATTAACAAAAATCATTGATATTCATTGTTCTTTAATATGCATTCTTATTTTAACGTGATGACGATCTTCTTTAAAAAAAACTATTGTTCTTGGTTGCCAAGTGTTCTTCATGACGTTTAGTTAGCTCATATGTTTGGATAACCTTTTTTGGCAATTTTTTCAAACATAAATTAAACTTATAATCTGTATAGAAGGTATTTTCTTTATCCAACTTCTCCAAAAATAAAAATACCTAGTTATTTTAAGTTACAAGCAAAGGTCAATTTGTTTTTCGCTTTTATCTGATCAGAATGTTAGAACACCAGCCTTGTCTAAACCAGGAATAATCCCTTTTCAGAAGTCTTTGGATGTCTTTTTTGCTTGCATCAATGGTTTTCTAGAAACAGGTTACATCAAGTAAACATACCATTTAGAGCAAAGACAACAATTGCAACTGTTTCTGTTGCTTGAGAAAGAAAGAGTAATTGGTTGGAGAAAGAAAGGAAAGAAGAACATTCAACAGCCATATATTCATGCTGACAGCTATATATTTCAGATACCTGCCATACAACAGCCATGCAGCTAGAAATAATCTTATGTATTGCGTAGAGATGCTGATACAAATTACTAACCAAGAATGCACTGGAATTTTTTTTCAGCATCAACACACCTCAGAATTGAAATGGAATTGTTCAATTCCAATTTTATTAGATAAATTTGGAAATACTATTCAGATATCCTACGCATTCCACTACAACGGTCCACAGATCAATGAGAAACACACCTCACGGTCGGATTTAACAAAACCAACCCACAAGTTAGACCTACTAATTTGCAGATATTAGAGTAGAAAAGATAAAGCTTTTATGCAGTTTCTTAAGTACTCATGGTATTTTCCAATTAGAAGTGAAATTTAATCTCGATGATTTGCATGATAACGGTTTGCATAAGAACTAAATTCTCCTTTTAACGTATGAAATTTGGATTGCATAATAAAGACTTGATTATGCTTTTAACATATGAAATTTGGGATAAAGTCGTTTTAGTTTTACAAGCAGAAGAAAAATAATATTAAGTCCAAAGAGCTTGAAATTTAACAAAAACTGATGATGTCAGGCTTTGAGGTGAATATGTGTCAAATGCTTATATCACCCTGTCACCACTTTTCATCATCTCCACTAAGACAATCTTACTTCAAAGACTACAAACTTTTTCTTTATTAAATTTAAGAGATTAAAATGATTGTTTGGAAATTTGGGAGACAAACACGGATTTTATTCTGAACACGAGGACAACAAACCTAATGAAGCCTTGAATTAAAGGTGAACCTTAATTCTTATAAGAAAATAAAACCAAAGACACCTAAAATAACTGGCATGCATGCATGTAAGTTTTGTGCTAATGAAAATCCTACAATACTCCGAAATCAGCAATGCTACAACAACTTTGCAGGAAAATTTTCACCGGTCCAAAAGCTACTATCTAATGCTGACATTGATACTGATAATCACAAATATTTAAAATTGCACTGTTTAAAATGAAGACACCCTAGGGACATCGACTGGAAACTGGTCGATCTCATCAATCCAAGGACTCTTCTCTTTAGCAGGGTTGATGGTCCTGAGAGCCTTCCACACTGCACTGTTACACTTGAATCCGGAACCAAATGCGATTTGCCATGCTCTGTCTCCCTTTTTTATCCTCCCTTTGGCTTCGGTGTAAGCCAGCTCATACCAAAGTGAACTGCTGGATGTGTTTCCGAAACGATAGAGGGTCATCCTTGATGGCTCCATATGCCAAGGAGACAGCTGCAAGTTTTTCTCCAGTTCATCCAAAACTGCTCTACCACCAGCATGAATGCAAAAATGTTCAAAAGCTAGCTTGAAATCTGGAATATAAGGTTTGATCTTCATCTTGAACATTTTCTTCCCAACTAAGGTGGCAAAGAATAGCAGCTGTTCTGATGTCGGAAGAACAAGAGGCCCCAGTGTAGTGATGTTGGTTTTTAAAGCATCACCAGCAACGGCCATCAGATCTTTTGACAAAGTAACACCAATCTTGCCACTGGCATCTTCTTCTTGTGTTACACAGCTAAAGCACTTGTCATCAGCACCCTTATGAGTGCGAACCGTGGTGACCAATCGGTATTTGGATCTTCTTCTGTCCGACCTTTTATTGGAGAGTAGAATTGCAGCTCCTCCCATACGAAATAAACAATTGGAAACAAGCTTTGATCGATCGTTTCCAAAATACCAATTCAGCGTGATATTCTCCATGCTAATGACCAATGCATAGGAGTTGAGATTGGCCTGGAGAAGATCTTTGGCAAGATCAATTGAGATAAGCCCTGCACTGCAACCCATTCCCCCAAGGTTGTAGCTCCTTATATTCCCCCGCAGCTTGTAATGATTGACAATCATTGCCGAAAGTGATGGAGTTGGGTTGAACAGACTACAGTTTACAATAAGAATTCCAATTTCCTTTGGCTTTACAGAGGTTTTAGCTAATAGCTCATCAATGGCACCAAACATCACAGCCTCAGCTTCTTTTCTAGCTTCTTTCATTGAAGGGTTGGGAGGAATATTGAGGACAGCTTCAGGAAGGTAAGTGTTCTCCCCAAGGCCAGATCTCTCAAGGATCTTTCGCTGGAATTCAAGATTTTCATCTGCGAAAGAACCGGTCAATCGGGAGTGGTCTATAAATTTCCTTTTCGTGCACTGCCGAGATTCTTCGGGCTTGTAACAAGAGAAATCGACAAGGTACACCGGTCTAGGCCGAGTGAGGAAGTAGAGAGTGGATAGGAAAACAAGGAGAGCTGAGCATATAATAACAGATATCAAGTTGTATTGCAAATGCTCCCAAAGATCATAAAAGTCTTGGAGGGAGAAGGTGGAGAGCTGAGCAGCAATCAGCGCCACGAGGGGGGAAAGGCAGAGGTACATTCCATGAGTGATGAGGTAATGATAACCAAGCTTCACATACTTCAACTTGATAGATTTCTTGAAATCAGGAAGATTTCGCGATGAAGAGGCCATTGATGGTGTACCTGGCCTTGCATCTGTCATTTTGCCCTGTTCAAAGCTTGAATCTACATTGGTTAGATAACTTGCTTTAACGAAAATATGATAACAAAAAGGAAGCATAAAACATCTTAGAACGGCAACAGAGTGCCTATAAAAGATCCCTTTTAGTAAGAATTTCCAGTAATGAAAAATAATAATAACTAACAAAAAGAAGCTGGTTTTCTTTAATTAAGATGCATTGCGTGAACACTCAAGCCACAAATCAAGTGAATGTCAAAATTGTCTGTGTATAGAGAACAACAAGGTTAGCGAAATTGAAAAGGACAGATAAACACAATATGAACTGAAAGCAAAGCTCAATTTTATTTATTTATCAAACACATCCAAGTGTACAAGCACAAGCCCTCCTACTCATTCTTTCCACGGAACAAACCCAAGTACCGCCACCTAATAATTCAACATTATCATATTCATCCACGTACATGCAAAATACAATCTGAAGCGATTACACTGAACAATGAAGAAAAGCAAAAGGCATTCACTAAAAGCAAGATTTCGATTTTTCCAACAGCACGAAAAAAAAAACATAGAAAAATCCACGAAAAAGTGAAGCATAAATGCTGTAAGCAACAAAAGAGAGTTTGGAAGCATGGGAACAACAGAATCAGGCAAAAAAAAAAAACCCAGTTCCCGAAATCGAACCTTGAAAAGCAAAGCCAGCAGATCCCAGGAATGCAGCCGGGGAAGAGAGAGAGAGAGAGAGAGAGACGTTGATTGTAAAGCAGAGAGAGGGAAGAAAGAAAAAGTGGTGAGGGAGGAAGAATAATTGTAGTTCTTAATAAATATATGTGTAGAGAGAGAAGATGACAGATAATAGAAGGAGGGATTAGGATTTAATGGATTTTAATTTTTGAATGAATGAGATTGAGAGATTTTAAAATGAAATAAATAATGTGAGTGATAATAATGGGGCGAGAAAGGAATCGCGAAAAGCATGGGCATAGCATGTTCACTCTCCACAGTAACAGTAACAGTGACATACATGAGAAACGCAGAACAAAACATATCTGAAAAAAAAAAAAAAAAAAATCAACGGTGAACTCAGTTACGCTTCCACTCGCCAATTCCATCAACAACAACCTCGTCGTTAACTCATTTTGAGTGATGATCAATAGCCATTACATGCTTACACCAAGTGCCAATAATTTATGTTTCATTTTTGTGATGCTTTGTTGGCTTAGTTACAGTCACAATATTGTAAAAAATTGTAGTCTCTAACACAGTAAATTGCAAAAAAATAAAAAGTCGTTTAAAAAACTCGATTGTAGTGTTTTTATTTTTAATTTTTTTAATTTTAATCAGTTATAGTTTTTTTTTTCTGATTTTAAAATCGTTGTCATTATTATTACACCACTTAATTTTTTTTTTTTAAGTAGTATTTAACGAACAAACGCGTTAAAGTAGCGTTTTCTTTTCTATAATTTTAGTTTCTTGAGTTTTTATATTTATTGTTTTTTATTTTTAATTTATTCGTGAAATTTCTCTTTTAATATTTTCTATACATGGTATATGTTTAGTATATATAGAGAGAGGAAAAAAAGAAGAGAGAGAGAAATTGGTTCTCTGACACAATTTTAATACTTTTTTAAATAAGATATTTTTTTATTTATTTTTACTTTTTATTATATAAAATATTCATAATAATGTATAATTACTACTTTTTTATATTACATTATTTATTTTAACTTTTATACTGTTTACAATATTAATTTTATTGATCTTACATTAAATTTGAATATTTAAGAACGACAAATGATGTGTCACTTTATAATAATTAACATGTCTGTTTAAAAGTATAATATTTTCACCTATTAAAAAACTATAAGAACCAAAAAAAGTAATACTTTAAAATTTGATTAAAATAATACTTTCAAACATAGTCTAAGATAAAAGTAAAATAAATAATATAAAAATACAATAATTAAAATAAAATATATAATAAAAACATTTATTTATAAATGAAACTTCAAAATTAATAAATATCATTAATTAGTAGTGTTTTCATCAATTATTCTATTTATATATCATATATTGTGTTTGATCAATGATATATTTCATGATTTCTTTCAATAATAGTATAAATTATTTTACAAACTTATTATTAAAACAAAACAAAAAGACAGTGGAATAGAATAATAATATTTACAGAAGAAATAAATAAATTTCATTTTGATTATGGTATACAAAATATACTTTTTCACAGAGAATAAAATCCATTGAAGAAAAGCTGTTTTACCTACATGTTTTGAGTAGAATTAGTAAAATTTATATTTATTTATAAAACAATATAAGAGGAGTAAAATAATATATTAATAGTATTTGTTTTCCATCTTCATTATCAGTTAATTGAAATCAATATGAATTATGTTATTGAAACCTATTGATTTCTTTATTGTTAAATACCGTAAGTCACCCTTAGCTTTGCAACGATGAAATTTTAAAAATGTTATCAGAGAAAAAAACATGAATGAAACAAAATTAAAAATATAATCAAGATATCAAAAAATTATAAAATGAAAAAATAACTTCCAATCTAATGATAACTTTTGAAAAAATACAAGAGGTTATATACATAAGATTGTTTTCTCACATATTTTATCATTACATTTTTTTCTTAATTTTTATATATTTTTTTCAAATAAAAAAGTACAAACTATATGAAATATTTAGAATGTCTAAGAGAAGTATACGTGTCAGTTGAAAAACTAATGAGTGTAGCACCAACCTTAATGCTTTCACACACTAACACAAGAAAACAATCTTCAATACTAGAAGATACACTATCACCGTAATTTATATATTTATTTAATGAGTCACAACCGTAATTTCTCTCTAATTTTAATTACTTAACTTATTAAATCTTTATTACAATTAAAAATCTCTATGTTTGTAAAACATTTTAAAAAATATTATAATGATATTAAAAATTTTAAATAATAAAAAATTAAATAAAAATATATACAATATATTTTTAATTAGAGAGAAATTTATTTTAATTTATAGAAAATTTATATTTCTCATCAAATTCTACAACAATAAAAGACTATATTATTTCGGTGATAGTACTCTAATAATATTTTAATATAAACATATCATTATATTAAAAAATTTAAATTATTTTTAACTTTAATTCTTAAACTACATAAAATTTATAAATATTAAACAATTTATAATTTATGAATGTAAAAATTATTATTATTATTTATGATTTCACAAATAATTTTAAAATTAAATAATATATTATTAATAAATAATAAACATTAAAAAAAGTTGTTATTTAACCTATTTAATTATTTAATTTACTATTTATAATAATAATTAGATAGATTCAAAATTATATATATAATATTTTATTTAAGTTAATATAGATTTAATAAATTATTAAATTTAAATATTTAAAAAATTTAGAGGAGTTAAAATTATAAATATAAGAATAAATAAAAAAATATTGGAAGAATGTGAACCTTACAACCTAAGAAGGTGCGCCTATAAAATGTGTAAAAATTGGAAATCATAATGATAAGCTGTGAAAAAAAAAACTTTAATGATAAAATAAGTTAGATATTTCCTTCCACTTTTACCATAAATTCAATCTTATAATTTCAATAACAATTTTATGTAGTAAAAAAGTGGAAGGGATGATTTTATTTACTTTTGCTTTTTATCTTTTAAAAACAATTTAAAATATAAATTTTAAAAAACAATTTTTTAAAATTAGGTAAAAAAAATATTTGATAACTTTATCTTTATAAATTATTTTAGACAAAAAAATACATAAATAACTATGAAAAATTATGATAAAAATGGGAAAATAATCTACAAATTTTAATATAATTATTGATAAAACTGGTTATATATATTATTGAAAACAGAAAAAAATTTAAATAAAACATAAAGCAACTTTTATTAATTTTGATTTTTTTAGTTTTAAAAATAAAAAATAAAAACAATTTTTTTAGATTTTAAAAATTAAAAAACTGTAACTTATTTTTAAGAATAGTAATATAAACAAACCGTAATTTTAGGTGTCATCAATTTAATTTAGATTAAAATTCAAACTTTTTTCTTTAAAAAATTGAATCTTTTAAATATAGAAGGATCAAAATAAATTTTACAATTAGGAATTTTTTATTTTATTTTCTTTAAACTAAAAATATCTATCCTAACCATATCAAACTTATCTATTTTTATTAATTTATTTGTTTTTAACTCTCTATAAATTTGTGTTCAAACATAGTCTAATAACAAAATTAAAATTATTCATTACAATTTTTAATTGTTATGTAATTTTGAAAATATTATTTATTTTAAATTAATTTTTTATAAAAGAAATATTTATCAATGATCCTAAAAGAAATAAGATATTAATGGTGTAATATAGTTGAATTATGTAAACCAAAAATTTAATTTTAAAATATATGTTAAACAATATATTTAAAACTTGCACTAAATTAACCACATTTTTCTTTTCCTTGCCTAAGTGCTATTTGTGGATTTGTGAAAAGTTTGAACCTTAACACGGAACAAATTTTATTTTCTTATATTTATATTACATCACAAAAATAATTTATATATATTTTACCCTCTTCACTTGTATAATAATATATTTTTTAAAGAGAAAACCAATATCCACTTTTATTCCGAGGACAATATTTAAGTATATTCAAATGAACAGACCAATAAATGTTGAAAATGAAATTTCCCTGGAAGTATCTTGTGGCAGGTAGATGGTAAAAAATTGGTATGGATATGTCTGTTTTCATTCAGTTTTTATTGATAAAGGAATTCTCTATTTAAACTAAATATAGTAAGATTAATTGTATATTATTTATTATAATTCTTTTTATTATTTTTTATTTGATCGTGGGAATGAAAACTTCATTTCATTTCAATCGATACGACTGTCTTGGGAGTCACCTTTGTGACGCAACGCCACCTTACTGTCTTAATGTGTCTCGTGTTCTATTTTCTCTGACTGAATCAAACAAAACACTCGTCAAGTCATTTTACAAGGTATTTATTACTTCCACGCCTCTAATATATATTTGTTTAAATCATTCTAACTATGAATAAACCCATTTTTTTATAATATTTTTTCCTAACTATCTTAATTAATCACATTACAACATTTCATCAAAATTACACTGAAACAACTTGACATTTCATAAAATAATAATAATTTTTCTATAAACAAACACTTTAAGGTATTAATTACAAGTCAAATTAAAATATACTACACATGAAATAATGCATTGAGACACATAAAAATAATTTATATAAAAATATATTAACAAAAATATACAAACTTCCCTTTTAAATTAATAGTAACCTTCATTATTAACATTGTTATTGTTTCATAATTTTTTTATTATTATTATTATTATCATTATTATATATCACTGTTTTTTTATTTTAGACAATAACTAAAAAATGTTTTGTAAAATTAAATAACCATTACCTAAGTTTTATGAAACGGTTTGACGATAATTTTTTTACCGTGGAATATTTAAACGTGTTTAAAACAGTTATTTTTTATTTTTTTTATAATCAAAAACTTGTTTAAGACTGATGTATTCAGATGTTACAATAAGTCATAATTTTCAAACATTATGCTAAATTATTATAATAAGTCAAGGTTTTTTAATTAGCTAACAATTATTTATTTTTATTTATAAGTAATGCATTTTAATAGTTACCTCTTACTTAAATCATAGTTAAAGATGCATTTTAATACTTGAATCATAATTATTTTATTGTTGACATGTAATTTTGTTAGGTTATGTAATTATTGGTTTTATTGTCTTATCTAATTCTTGGTTATATAATTTTTTAAAATTAATTTTAATATATGATTATTATTGTTTCTGATATTTGTGGATATTACTTTATTTATATTATACTTTAAATTTAACTAAAATATTATGTATAAATTTTTTATTATTTAACATGATTAGTCAAGTATTAATTTTATATCTGATATTAAATCAGGTTGAAATTATTATATTTTTCATATTTTATTAATTTAATAAGATTAATTTTAATATGAAAATTTGATTATTTAAAATGTAGAAAATTTTGATATTAAATGCACACTTGATTACTATAGATTCTACAATTTTCATCTCTTCATGTTGAAAATCAATGTGAAACAGCGTTGAATTTTATCAATTTTAATGAAAAAGACATAATATTAATTGAACGATTAATTGTAAAAAAAAAAATATATATATATATATATATATATATATATATATATATACTGGTACCTTTTTAAAAGAAGCTTGTATATATTTATAAATTAAACAAGTGATGCAATGTGTACGCATATCTTCCTACAAAAGGGTTATCACTTTTTTTTTGTTTTTTTTTTTATTTTTTTTGTACAGAATAGTCATAAACATATCACAAGAAGCAAATATAAATAACAAAATTGGTTAGAAATAGGGTACGTTGTAGGGTTTGTGATAGGTGTTGTTGGGGACCTTAAATGTATTCCATGTTTATTCGATATGTCTGTTAACTTTATGAGATTTAGGAAGTGCTTTGTAGCATGCCACCTAGGCGTCCACCTAGGATTTATTTTCTCGTGTCTCACCCGCACTCGTCAACGTTAAGCGGCATTTATCCACGTGCCTGTTCATATTTTTGGTGCATTAATATTCTTTCTATCATAAACCATCCTTCTTGGATATTAGATTAGATCATCAACTTCTCCCCTTCATCACCTACATTGTGCTTCCCAGCATAATAATTTTTATCTCAACCTATTACGTTCTACAAATTCATCAGCTATATGATTAGTACATAAAATAAAAGTCCATTTAACGACTGAAATTATCAATTTCATTTGGTGGTGACTATTTTAAATATTTTTACCCACTTTATAGCATTCTATTCATGCTCAATAACAATGTTTACTCAATTACCATATCTTACACTGTAATGTTTAATGTCTTTAAGATAGGTACGAGCTAAATGATAATAATCCTAAAATTTTATAATTTTTCATTAATATATTTTTCCATCATGATTATTAGAAAACCATTGCTCTAAAAATTGAACTATTTTATATTTATGGTAATATATTTTACTGGTAATATAATTTATTTAAAATTCTTATATAATTATTGAATAATATTAATTATTATATAATGATTATTGAGAGTAAGAATGAGAGTCAGTCTTCCATGTTGACTCCGTCCCTAAATATTTTTTTTATATATATTTTAAAAAAATATATATTTAATGATATGAATAATTTTTAAATTTTTAGTTATTAATAAATATTTTATTAAATAAATTTAAAAAATATTATATTTTTATATCAAAATAACTAATTATAATAAATAATTTAAATTTATTTAATTAATTTTTATAATTAAAATTATAATATTATAATATATTTACATATTTTAATAATATAACAATAAAATTTTAATTATAAATTTTTATTTTAATTTTAATATAATTTTTTTATAGCGAGACCAACAGGTCAGTCCTTCTTATCTCGTCTTTGGTCCATCGAATTAACAAGTTTGACAAGATAAATCAAAACAGATTAGTGAGTTAAAATTATCAATCTCTTTCATATTTTTTTAAGTTGATTGTCATCCTTAATTAAAAGATGAAAAAAAATTTAAATTGACTAAAAGATAAAAGATATTCAATAATTGTCATACTCAATCTTTTTATGATTGGTGAATTGGTGTTATTAAAGAAAAAAATCATGTATAAAAAAAATCACATAATTACAGTAAATAAGAATTAAAATTATTTAAATTAATGAGTTCATAAATCACATAAATCTCCTTCTCAAGTTATATTGTCTAAGTTAATTTATATTTTTAAAATTATTTTATGTTTTTAAATTTGTTTCATTAATGTTCTTTTCATTTCTTTGTACTTTAAAGATTACATAAGATCATTTTCAAATCTTATTAATTAAGTGATTCAATGAATTAAAAAAAAATGTCCTTTTGTAATTTTTATTTTTAACCGATTAAACCTCCACTAATATGAGTGAAGTGGATGTCATGAAGCTAAATTTATTTTTATTGAAGAATTATTATCACCTGCCTCATATAAATTGCTGATCAAACAAAACTAATTTATTAGACATTAGTTGTGATTTTGGGCCAAGTAGTTCTACAACATCCTCTTTTCTCTTCATAATTTGCAAATAGTTCCAGAAAGCAAAGGAAGAGAAAAAAAAAAAAAAAACACCAGGAAAAGGTCATCGTTAATGAATTCCAACACGATGCTTTTGGTGCAGATAACAGATGATTAAATGGAATTAATTCCCCTTGTCGCCGCAGTCCATTGGGCAAAGAAAGTCCTAAAAGTGAAGGAAGAAACTAAAAGAAATCCATAAATTCACCTAAAGATAAAGATTCCATGCTAATTGATTAATGTAGATATATAGCTAGTACAGTATTAAAAGCCAAAGAGCTAGTCTAAACCAAACCCCTGGTGCCCCTAATCTTACACTTTAAATGACCCAACCTCGCATTCAAGGATTCGCTATATGCTTTTGTCACCCTCCAAACCCTCCAACAAAACCAATTTATTGACATTCTGGCTGCTATCTCCAACCATTTTGCTGAGTTGTGTCAATAGGATTTCCTACGTGGCTGCTCCATATAGCACCACACATCCTGGGACCGAGTCATGCTCACACCCCAAGCATAAATGCACACACTCCCCTCGTGGCTTGCTTGTGCCAAAACGAGCTCCACACCTACCCTTACCCTATATAAACACCGTCGACTCTCTTCTATACTCAAACTCACAACCACTACTCTCTTATACCTTCCCATTTCTTCTCTCCTTCTTCCTCTACGTACTACCTCAGAAAAATGCCACTCGTTGCCAAGGCCATTGCCCTCTGGTGCAACAAATATGTCCACGACAATGATCATGCTCCTGCAACTTGCATTGAAGAAACTGTTTTCAATGGGCATGCAGGTTCCGTAAGCTTTCTTCCAGTTGCATTTATGGAGGGTGATGATGACGACGACGACGGTGGTTACGACTATGCACCTGCAGCATAAACTATGTGTCGGGTTACCTAGTACTATCCAACTTTTAGCGACTGACATACTAGAATATATGTCTGCTTCGGTTTTAATTATTAGTTTGGTGCCAATTAAATGACAAAATTACGTGTTAGGTAACTTTATGAATTGTTTAGCAACTATGTTTGTTATCAGAATGAGACGTTGATTAAATATGATGAGAAATGCAGTTGAATACTTTATGTTATCCACCATAAGTTGCATCATCTTCTTCAAACGGGTGACGTTATTGATTGTTTTATGTGTCAATCAAGACGTTACAAAATTAAATTTCACAGCTATAATTTATTAATCTATCATTATGCACGATGTTGCTATTAGAGGAACCTTTACCCTCATTTCTTTCCTCCTTTTATTAATTATTTTTCCTTTACTTGCTCTTTGAGCCACAAAGTCTTTGTCCTAAATTCCTAATTTTAATCCGGAAAGACCCGTTCCAAAAGCACACTCGCACCTTTTCTTTTCTGTTGCTATTCCTGTAAGGTTTGGTCCTTCACCTCCAGCCATATGGGCCCGTGGCCCACCCGACAGAACCAAAAATAAACGTTAGTAATTTGAGTGGGCCTTAGAACATATTTCCATGCTTGAAAATGTTAAATTAATAAAAATAGCAGTTTAGTATTAAGGCGTTCTCACTTTCATCTAATAGCAAATAAAAACAATTTTTTATTTTAGAATAATCATTGTATCATACTATATGACAATTTATATCATGATTTCATCGTATATGTGTGAATTACGAATATTTTTACACTGCATTATTTTCATTTGTGCTTCACTACTGGAATATTAGTACTCTCATGCTTGCCCAACTTTATTTTTTCCTACGACATAGACAATATGTAGAATGATTCCATAATGTTTTTAGTATGATAATTAGTTTGATATACGAGGATGATAATGGTAAGGTTTTAGCCCCGACACAGTCAGATTCAATTTTATAGTTTTTTTTTTTTAATATGTGTTAACGGTCAAACTCAGTTAATGAAAATAAAGTCTTTTTACCTTGCGATTTTTTATTTTATTAAAAAACTATAAAATAGTAATTTTATTATATACGTATCAAAGCTTGCTTTGTTAAATTTTGAGCTTTAAATAAATAAATAAAAAATAATAATAATAATAATAATAATTATTATTATTATTATTATTATTATTATTGGATTAGGATAATTAATATTAAACAGATTATTATAGTACCTCTATATTATTTTTCCTGTACTATCTGTTATGTACTAGATAACATATTCTCATGAATATTAAGTACTATCTATCTTTCACGAGGAAACAAATTAAGTTTTAAATTTTCTTCTTGAAATGTGTCATTAAGTGTTTTAGGAGTTAAAACTTGATTAGTTAGGTCTCACGAGTAGGAACTTAAGGATGAGTTGTGGTCCTTACACTTAAATTAAGCCTTCCATTTAAAGTGTTAAAATTTTACTTTAAGTGTTCAATTAAATGCATTGTGATGTTTTGTGAATAACACTTAAGAATGATTTATATCCTCAAACTTTAATTAAGTTTTCATTAAATGTTAAATTTTTATGTAAAGATTTCACATAAGTTTTTTCATTTTAATGACGTTTTCTAGGTTACTCTTTTGTTCATTTGTTTAACAGTAAAATTATTAAAATATTTTTTTAGACAACATGAATTATTATCTTTTTAATTATGCTTTCACTTTATATATATATATATATATATATATATATATATATATATATATATAATGATTTACAATTAAAAAATAATAAATATAAAACTATATTACTATTTTATAAAGATAAAAAAAATTGTTATATCTACAATATAACCTTAAACAATATAGGGAAATAAAAATCACAACTAAGTATATGTTAAAGAGTTGACACTTGAAGTGATTCCTAAACTTCAATTATATATTTTATTAAATATTCCAATATTTTTTGAAAAATCTACTTTTAATTAAGTTCCTTACAATTGGACACTTAAAAGGGTAACTAGTGGTCTTCAAATTTAAATTAATTTATTCATTAAGTGTCCCCTCGATAATAAAATTTATTGTTTAAGTCACTTATGTTTAGGTTGTGGTCCTCTAACTCAAGCCACATCTAACTATTATTAGGTTAATATAATTTTGTAATGAAAAAAAAAGTGTATGAATTACTCAATGTGATTTGTTTATAAGACTCAACTAACAAATCCATTCATATTTTAAAAAATAGTTATTCTAGTTATTAACATTATATTTGTCCAAAGTTTATGTGTTTTCTTTTCAAAATTATCCCTAAAATTAATGATACACACTTTGTTATTTCTGAAAATTTTGAGCCTTTCTTATCATCAATATATATTTACTGTTTTAATTTTTATTGGCTATTACTGTTTTTTATACAAGACAAAGTTAAGCTTTTAAGGAACACCAAACATTAATGTATTTCCCTTAAACTTAAAAATAAAAATTAAGAATATTTTAAAATAATGCAAGATATTTAATATTAATTCTTATTTTTAAAAATCACATTTTCTAATTTAGTTCTTATCAAACCACCGCGTAATAAGTAATAATTCAGCAATAAATAAAAAAAGGAACGCGCCAAAACTTACTAATCATAAATATCTTACCATAACAAAATATATATAAATTTGTAACCAAAATAAAAGTATATGTCGTAACCAAACGAACATATAACCAATTAAAGAACAAGATCAATTAAACAACAAAGCTAACAGTTATATAGAAAGAGTGGAAAAGAACGAGATAAATAATTTTTAAAATATAAATAATAACAATTCTCATTAAATTATAAGAAAATAAAGAACGAAATAAATAAATAAGATTTAAATTATTTTAAAAATCGATTAATTCATTTTAAATATACTAACCTAAACAATATATTATAATGGTTGGGTGACGCAATTTTGTTACATTTATTAATATATATTTATAATATTTTTTATTATGTATTGACATATATTAGTTTTTAAAAGAGAAAAAAAAACTATATAATAACGGTTAAAAATTAATATAATATATTTAAAAGTTGTAAATTGCTTTCTCTAAAACAAATTACTTTGCGGTTACATATATTAATATATAAACAAATATTTATAAAAATTCAAAAATAGGGTTGTTAGTTTAGATTAATATAATTTATACACTTAAATAAATAAATAAATAAAATAAAATAATGAGTAAAAATATCTTATAAAGTTGTATTTAAAAAAGTGGCATGTACTTTATATATACAAACAAAAATACATATCCTCCCCCATCGTATTATATTATATATATTAGACTAATAAATTTTTAAAAAATGGATAAATATATAAGAATGATTGTGTGGAAAAATAAAAAAAATTGACAATGTGAGAGAGGTATATTTACTTGTGGTATGATTATTTTTTAATGGAAAATTTATGCACTTACTTTTCAGTAAATAGGGTATACAGTTATATATTTTATCAAATAATGATATTATTTTTATTTAATAATAAAAAACATTGTCTAAATAAAAAATCAATAAATAGTTATAAAAATATTTATCCCACTTATTAAATTATATAGACTAGTCAAAATTGAGTAATATATTTGTAACTATATATATAAACTTATTTTTTATAATATTAATATCGTATAATCTTCAACTAATAAGTTAAGATAGTCCGTGAATTTGATTTAGAACATCCTAAGCCAAATATTCGTGGTAGGTGTGAAAGTAAATGAAAATTAGCTTTAAATTTTTGTTGATTAGTCTTATTTCAGTACAAGTTGTAGTGTTTAGAATATGTGTTTAGGTTGAGATGTGTGATAATTGATTTTGGTCCTCATTGGACATAAATCATGAAATTTCATGAACAGGAACAGTGAAATTAAAATAGGTTTCATACAATTAAAAAATACAGAATGATTATGTAAAAATATTTTACTTTTGTAATATATAATTGATTTAATTACTAATTAGAAAAACAGAGGCGTTGAAATTGGAATGTGATGAGTGGTAGGTAGGGTTTTGGTTGGCAATAACCCAGTGGATCCCAAACCGATACATGGCATTTGCCAATCTTAATTTATTTCCTACCAATGGAACCCTTCTTTCGCAGTACAAAAGGTCAAAATTCGAACAAAGTCAAAACATTGCCTCAATATTAGTAAATAAAATGTATTTTTTAAATAATTTCTATATTTAATATTTATATAGTTTATTTCATTTACATATACGTTAATATATAATTTAGATAAGGATATATTTTTACAAAAAAATATAAGATATAAACTATTTTTTAAACTTTTTTTTAATTTATTGATATTTCAGTAGTAACTTAAAACCGTTACACACAATTTAAAAGAGTTGAACAATGTACTTTAACGGTAAATACTCATAGGTTTAAATATTAGTTATTATTATTTTTAATAAATATATATATTAATGTTTATATTAATATTGTTTTATTTTTTAAATATTTGTATCATCTTTATATTTTTATTTATAATTTAAAATTATTTTTTCTATTTAATAAATATAATTCAAAATATAAAAATATAATTGATAATAAAATAATTAATAAAATTTTAAATTACCATATTTAAAAATATATTTTTCATCAAAACGACATATATATAAAAATAATAAATAATAAATAACAAAATAAAAAATATAAATAAAAAATAATAAAATATACATAGTATATAATAAATGAAGAATTGTAAATGATAAATAAAGAATAAAATAAATAATTAATAGTAAATAATAAATTACATATTATAATATTAAATGATGAATAATAATTAAAAAGTAATAAATGATAAATTATAAACCATAAATAAATGATAACAATATATAGTAAATAGGAAATAATTAGAATAATAAGTACTAAATAGTCAAAAGTCAAATATAAACAATAAATAGTCAACAGTCAATTAGAAACACTAATAGATAATAACTGATAATGAGTAGTAATTAACAAATAATAAATTATAAACAGTTAACAATCACTTGGAAATAACAGACAATAAAAATGAATATTGAATAGTAAATAACAAATAATCATTATGAATAAATAACAACTAATTAAATAATAATTAATAAATAAAAAACCTCAAATATTAAATAACCAACCAGTAGTAAAGATTGAATAATAATAAAAATAAATAAAACAGAAAAACGTTATATATTAAACATTTAAATGAATAAATTATACTAATAAATAATAAATACTAATAAGCTCTATTTTTACATATTTTCAACCTTTTTACTTCCACCTACTACTTCCTATATTTTTTTTCCAAGAACATCTATATTTTATATCAATTTTTTTTCTTATTTCCTCGTGTATTCAATTTTTTTCTAATGAACCGTATGTTAAAAATAATTCTAATACTGTATTTGGATTGAGAGGGGAATAGAAAAAAAAATATTTTTTTATATAATATGATTCATTTATAACAAAATTTTAATCTTATTAAAAGTAAAAAAAAAAACAACGATAAAAACTAATTTCATGAAATAGAAACAATTTCCAGGTGAGATTTAAAAAAAAAAAAAACTTCACCTCCTTTCCATTTGAATAATATATAGGAACAATAAAAAACATCCAATTTCCTTAATTCCTCGCCCTATTTTGGCATGGTAAAAGGTATATATATATATAAAAAAAAAAAAAAAGAAGCAAAAGTGATTCCAAATATGAGAAAAAGAAAAGGAGGGGTGGTTTAATTGACGATTTGCGAAACAAAAACAAAGAATTTACCCTGTTCGTGTTTGAATAGTGACCAGATATGGAGGTTTGTTTCCTTTTGGTCTTCCCTTGCATCGATCGTACAATGCAAAATCTGAATGGGAAGGAAGAAATAAGTGTGGCGCAGTGGCACCAGTAAATAATTGTCCTCTTCCCTCACATTCACATTTTCAGATCTATATAAGGGTGGTGTCGGTGATCCATTCCCATTCCCATTCCATTCTACAATAATCTTCCCCTTCTCCTTCTCCGATTGGGAATCCCCTCTTCCATTTCTTCACAATGTCGTGGGGTCGGTTCGATTCGTGGAAGCAGCAGTACTACACCACGAGCGGGGTGGTGGTGGGATACGCAGTGTGCTCCAGCCTCCTCGCCATCATCAACAAATACGCCATCACCAAATTCAACTACCCAGGCCTCTTGACCGCGCTCCAGTACCTCACCTCAGCGCTCGGGGTCTACCTCCTCGGGAAGCTAGGGTTTCTCCACCACGACCCCTTCACCCTCCCCATCGCCAAGAAATTCTTCCCCGCTGCCCTCGTTTTCTATCTCGCCATCTTCACCAACACCAACCTCCTCCGCCACGCCAACGTCGACACCTTCATCGTCTTCCGCTCCCTCACCCCTCTCCTCGTCGCCATCGCTGACACCACCTTCCGCGCCCAGCCCTGCCCCTCCAACCTCACCTTCCTCTCCCTCCTCCTCATCCTCGCCTCCGCCTTCGGCTACGTCGCCACAGACTCTGCCTTCACCCTCACCGCCTACTCCTGGGCCTTCGCCTACCTCATCACCATCACCACCGAGATGGTTTACATCAAACACATGGTCATGAACCTCGGCCTCAACACCTGGGGCTTTGTCTTCTACAATAACCTCCTCTCCCTCATGATGGCCCCCTTCTTCTGGTTCCTCACCGGCGAGAACGTCCAGGTTCTCGCCGCCGTTAGATCTGGCCTTTTTGACCCCGCCGCCTTCTACGCCGTCTCCTTGTCTTGCCTCTTTGGATTGCTCATCAGTTTCTTCGGCTTCGCCGCAAGAAGGGCCGTTTCCGCCACGGCATTCACCGTCACTGGTGTGGTCAATAAGTTCCTCACCGTTGCGATCAATGTCCTCATTTGGGATAAGCATGCTAGCCCTGCTGGGTTGGTTTGTTTGCTTTTCACCATTGCCGGGGGTGTTCTTTATCAGCAGTCCGTGACTGGGCCTGGGAGTGCTCCGACCCAGCCCAAGCAGTTGGATATTGAAAGCAACAAAGGTGGTGGCATTGGCGGCGGTGATGATGACTTGGCAGGTGAGAGTGAAGGGATGGTTAAACTTATCTCTAGATGAGCATTTGTACTATTTATTTCATATTTAAGCTGCAATGACTGTATAATTGTTGTCTTATCTTAACAACATTAGGGAAATTTATGCAATGTGAGGGATTGTTTTCACAAGGATGTGTAATTTCAATTTTGTTTGCATCCTTTCTTCTCCCAGTTTTTCTGCAGTTGTGATTTTAATATATGGCTAGCTGTATGCTCCTTCATTTCCTTGGTGTTCGACTTCACAATTGTACTACCTGGGTAAGGTGTGGTATTGAAAAATGATCGTCTCAATGTCTAAGCTTTTAAGATAGTGATTCATCAGGGCGCATTGTTATGCTTTTGTTATTGAACAAAGTGTGATATTCAGATGTGCTAGGAAGGCTATTACTTCTGAGGTTACCATGCATGAAGATGATCTATCTGTTTTAACTTTCGGGTCCTTTTTTGAATAATATAATCATCATATTTCCTGATTGGTATGTGATAACTTTAAACTTAGTAACGCTTTACAGAAATTCTTTGTGATGTTCTGTAGTTCATCCTTAATATAGTGGCCTTAAATTGTCTGAAAAACCTGTGTCCTGTGATTTAAGTCTTGTTTTGATAAACTTCTCAACAAGGAAATAAATAAAGTGAAATAAGCATCTTCTATAATTACAGAAGAAGTTAAATTCAATTACCTTGTTATACTCCTAAGTATTATTTAAGAAATTTATCTAAACAGACTCTTAATACCTTTAACCGAGGCTTCAAATTTTAGTTACGCCGCTTGTGTGTGATTTTCAACACAATTTGATGTTAATTACTAAGCTGCACTCTCACAACTCAATGCTTTGTTTGTTGAAAAATGATATGAGATGGAAATAAGTTAGCATAGTGGAAATAAATGAGGAAGAAAGTGACAAGTAAAAATGTTTGGTTGAAAAGAAATAGAGAAGAGATGAGGAGAGAGACAGAAAAAATGAGTTAAAACATGTGAGAAATATGTTAAATTTTTGCTCTGTTTTGTGCTCCCCGCTGCCAATGCCAAAATATTCTATTGCTGCTGCTGACTTTACCTTTGAAGTTACTATTAGCATCTGAAAAATTTCTTAACTCAACTGAAAATATGCTATTCACTTCCCATATCATGCACAACAAAACCTTTTTGGCAATTGGTTTTTCATGGAGCATCTCTCCTTGTCATCATGGAATTTGTTTGATGCCCTTGTCTTGTTTTGGTGATGAAAGCTTCTGTTACTCAGTTTTGATAGTAGTTACTTAAGGCTCAGCGAGTTCTTTTGGATAAGGAAATCTGTTTAGAGTTTGTTTCCACCAGTGATGAGTGATATTAGATTACTTTTTGCCCTGGACCAGTACTTCTTATGCATCATTCACAACAATGACACTCGGTTGTGTTGCAAGCTTAAGTGGCTGCCAATGAGGATGTGAAAGTTATGTAAAATTTTTCCTACAAACAGTAACAATCTATTGATGTCGTGTTGGGTGCCCAATGTGTAACATAAATTATTAAACTAAATTAAAAACGTTTTTTGATCTCCATGTATACTGCACCTGGGCTTTTTGCACAGGGTCGACTTCCTCGAAGTTTACACTTCTGCCTCCCGGTCATTTCAAATGGTCCCATCTTATGTCTCACGGTAACACCCTTGTCCACCATTTTATATTTAGGATTTGATTGTATTTTTTTTAAAAGATTTTTAGAAAGTGAAATATATAAAAAGTTAAATTAAATTTTTTTATAAATTAAAATTAATTTTTATATAAATATTAAAACCAAAAGTTTAAAAGTTGAAGAAATTACATAAAAGAATTTTTATAAATTAGTTGATATATGAATAATTATTATTTTTTTAATATTTTTCTTAACTAATTATTTTATAGGGAAGTTGCCCCAGAGATGGTGATATACTTGGCAGACTCTCTTCCTATTTAAGGAAGTCAATTAATTTTTAGCACCTTGTAAAGACAAGAAATTCCATGCTTAAACAACCAATACTAGGAGAGAACATTAGTGTCTAAAAAGAAAAACTAAATTGATACTAATTTCATCTTTTCTCTTGTCTTCCTGAGTCATCTTCTCACTTTTTGTGTATGCATCAATTCATTGATCATAGTCTCACTAGTTTGGATTCAGCAGAATGAAAAAAGTAATTTAACAAATATCAGTAGACAAAAATAATAAAATGCTCATTTCTAACAGAATTTATATTATCTTCAGAATGATAAATAAGAAACGGAAGCTATTTCAATAATGCACAAGCCATGTCTCCTTTGTAATAATAACTTGTTCCCTTCTCTATGAGTAATTCAAAGGTTGCACAGCCTATATCCAAAGAAAAAAAAAGAAAAGATAGATGAGAGGAGAACATTTAAGGGATTTGTTGATTTTTCTCCATCGAATATCATGTTAACAAAATGGGTGGGAGATGCATTCAGCAAATTCATCGAACAGTTGGTGGGGTATTCAAGAATAAGTATAACCAGAAACAAAATGTGTGAAACACTTGCAGCAAGAAGAAAAGACAATTGTGAGCAGAATAAAATATGGTAGTATATCAGAAAATATTAAAGGTTATCATTGGAGTAATTCACAATTTTGAATTGTTACATTTTGTGTTTGTAAATGATTATTTGAAGCCACTTGATTTCAGATTTTGATGCATCTTGTGTGAAAATCTATTTATTTATTTTTTAGGAAAAATAGGTTGACATCGAAGGAAAAAAAAATTCACACACGTGACATGGACATAGATTGGGACAAGAATTTTTGTGTTACCTTAATCTCTTCAAACTTGAGACAGTGCTAGGATATCAAACCCTGCCTCCAGATAGATCAACGTGAAACGCCGAATCTTTTTATATAGATTTCTGAAAATTGAAAATAAGATAAAAATAGAAAACATTTCAAAAACTAAACGAGGCTTTGGTCACTTACATGTGCTCTGGTTGTTTTTGCCTGTGAGGAATTCATGTCCACTGACAATTTTTCAGCAGGTACTATTTTGTGGGCCCAATTATATTACAAAACTACTAAAAAATTAATCAAAATTAACGTTAGTGACGTATAAGAAAATTGGATTATTTATGAGACCTTTTTAGTAAAATATTTAAAATTACAAGTTGGAGAGAAAATTTACTCGAGTCATAAAGGAAAGAACGAAGGACATTTAACAGTGCAACTCACTTAAAATATGTAAAAACGAAAAAAAAAGAAAAGAAAAATGTTGCAAGTATCAGAATTTTGTTTAGATATTAGAGAATCTTTTCTATGGTCTAAGCCTTTTCAGTCTCCACTGTTGCACTTGCGCGAGGAACACTAGAATGGTTGGAGTATGAACTAAATGTGTGCAGACCAATAGTGCCTAACAATTTCACTATTTTTAGACCATTTTTTACTTGATGATAAAATATATAGAGATTCCGCCACTACATGCTTTGAAGCTCGAAAACCGATACACCAATAAAGGGACTGAAAAACCACACAAGAAAGACTGAAAACAACCTAGACTTGGTCAAAAATTTCCATGAAGAGAGTTATGAATTATGAACAGGTTAGGTTGTACATCTTGAACTTTCTCACTTCTATTAACTTCAATTTCCTTTTCCTACTTATGCTGCAGTTTCTCTACGTGGAAGTCTCTATGTTGCGTCCCATTCAACAGTAAAACATTACATTCTTCACCTTCTCTTTCAGAGCTGGTAGTGGCCGAACTGACTCATCTTTTGATCTACCACCTCGAGTAGCAAGCTCATGAACATCTGGTTCCATGTAGAAACGAGCTCTGTATGCTGCCAAGTGAGCATAGTACGCAGGAGGCACTGTACACATAGTAGACAAATTATACTTCATAGGGGTGATTAATTTGCTATATGGAGTCAGCTGATACAAAATCCACAAATGTGACTTCATACTGAGAAGTAAAGATAGTTGCACATCTCATAAATATATAGATTTTTTTTTTTTGTTAAAACAAATGTGCTAGTGTTGTATAAGGAGTGCTGAGTGGCTACTATGTGAGATTAACATTATGTGCAAGCATACTTGCAACAGGTAAATGATGATACAGCTGATGCAAGTTCTGATGTTAAGCAAGAGCCAAAGACTTACCTACAGAAACAGATCGTGTACATCTTGCATATCTACAATCAAATAATAAGATTATTTCATCAAAACAATTAGACTATATCATCAAAATAATGGAGCAAACACGTTTTAGATAATGTAAGAGAGGTTGTTTACGTGTAGCACAAGTTGTTGGTCAGAGACTGAATCTCATCAGCAGTGAAGTTGTTCTCGTCCCATAGAACATGATAATGAGCTGGTCTACTTGTACCCTGTAAATTGCATTTACGTGAATCAGATACCAAAATGAATCTTTGACATCTCATTTTATTACCCTACTCCCATTCCCTATTTGTATGGTTAGAACAGAAGAGAAGAGTATCTCATCTTTTATTTGTACAGTAACAAAATCAAAGTTCAACCTTTAGTTTAGCCACAGACATCATTATGATACCTGAATTCCCGCATGACTGCATAAATAGAAATCGAATTCCGTAGGATGACAGATCTTAGAATCCACCACGGTACCTACATTACAAAAGGTAGGCGATGTGATGGAAAAAGGTAGAAAAATTTGAATGTGGAAATTGTTGTGTAAATAACATTATTTTGGCAAGCTATCTTGGTACATGTCCTGTTGGATTTTCATGGATATCCTCAGTTGGTGACATGCACTAACGATAGAAAATGGAAGTTAAATTTTTTTACCAGGTAAGATGTTCCCACTCTTATCGGTGCTGTTTCTGTCGTCATGGTTGTTTGAGAAGAGTCTCGTGTGATGCCGTTTCTGAACCACAACAAATGTTACCGGAGGTTGGTAACTTGGTTCCAGAGATGCACAAGCCTACACATTGGCAATGAAAGCGTCTAACAATGTTAGAGTGTCTTGCTAGCATTTCTAGTCCAAGAAAATGTAAACAAATATAACTGCAATATATCCAAGTACCTTACGGATGGCATCAAGCTCATACAACAAAACTTGGTAGAATTGTCCTTCACTTACCCCATCCCTGTAAATTTATTTGATAACTATAAATAATATAGACAATCCTCCATTATCCCAATTGTATAGCTGTAATATGTCCAAGTCCCTAACTTACTTTGCAAGAACACTTTTTTTGTTTTTTTTGTTTAAATATTAGAACAGATCAACCCTACCTGTAAAATATTATTCTCAACGGTTTTTGTCCTGTTGCCTTCTTAAAAGAGAGTAACAGCTCTCTGCAGTAGCACAGAATAGTATGATTCAAGATTGTAGCTGATGTTGAATAATTACAGGTAATCAATGCAAGACTATTATACCTTCCCTTGTATTATTCTAAACCAAAACAAAATTTGGAGACAAACATGACCTTCCACTTCATCCAAATATGAAAAATGGTCAGGGTGCTACCAAGTACCTGATCATGCCACCATAAACTATACCATGATGAGGATCCTTCCAACATTTGAAAAGATCCTGAATGAGTTCCTCACGATGAGGCTGAGCACATACTAATCCTGCATACTTTGTTACTTCCGGCCAGTCCTGGGAGGCTACAACCTGAGTAACAGTAATCAGAAGACCAAATATATGGCAAGCAATAAGTTATGGTCTACAGGACTTTGAAAATACTTACAGCAGCAATGGATGGACAAGGGTCTTCTCCAGATTCTGGATGAGTTACATCAGCTCCAAAAATTATTGTTGGAATGTCACTAACCAATGGGATCCTCCAACTTAGGGCATCCAAAAGTACTGTGTTCCTTCCTCCCAACTAAAAGTATATTTAAGAAAGATTAAGTGAAAAATTAAAAAAGAAAGGTGGGCAAGTAACCACTCGCTTACTTTGGATTATAATTTGATAGATGATTTAAATTATATAACGAGTTAAAAACAGACCTTGACATTGATCTTTAGGGCCACATTTGCTAGATACTGTCTATTGATCTTGAATACGTGCTTTGAAAGACAGCACTGAGAAATCAACCCCAGATCTGTTTCGCAGATTCTTTTGAGATCACCTGAAAGAAAATGAAATATGGAGTTATTCTCCGCAAAAAAAGTGGGATGACATAAGGAAAAGATAAATGCAGACTCTTTTTTCTTGGAAACATGACGAGGAATGTAGTACTAAGATACTAGAACCTCTTGACTGCATAAGTTCCCATTTTCATATGCGTGTAAATCAAAGAAAGCTGATGTAGTAAAGAGAACCTCTTAACATTTCTATATACACCTCTACCATGGTAGCTAATGCTCTGGAACCAATACTAATGACTGGGCATATTGGATTGACTTGGAATCATACCATACAGAGACCCATTGTTGTCTGGAAGAATGGCAATCAGCAACTCTAGTTCTTTCCCACCAAGTTTATCTAGTACAGCAGAATGTACGTACTTCAAGGCTTTCTTTACCATATCAGGTCTTGCTGAATATATTGGAATCACAGGGTCTAGACAAAAGTCCTGTGAGAAAAAAAAAATGTATACAAGGGTACATAATAAATTGATAATGATATAGAATACGAAAAAGTATGGTTATAATTGGAGAAGTGATGTGAACCGCTAGTGCTGCTTCCAACAAGCAGTCTCTAATGTAAAACTTGTTA